CTGCCCTGCTGGAGGGTGTGACTCAAGCCCAGAGGGTACAGATGTGAGCGTGCTGGCAAAGTTCTCTCTCTTGCTCCAGTCCCGCATTTGGGTCGTCCTCTCACCCCAGGACCTGAGACAGTAGCTGGGATCTGACCTGCTGATTTGCATCCACCCACCCCTGCAACCACGTGAGTGGGGGGACTCCTCCAGACATATGCCTGACCCACGCGTTTAGGACTCGCCAGCCTCCCAGCCTCCACCGCCGCGTCAGCCATCTCCTTGACAGTTTGTGAGTCTGCGAGATGTTACGGTGACATCGAACCCTGAGACAGGAGGGAGAGGACTGGGAGGAGGAGCAGGGGCTGTTGTCACAGATGATGGAGTGGCACAGCAGTTTGGAAAAGCTGGACATCTGGGACATCTTTAATCTCCGCCTCATGGGGCCAGCCTTGTGCTGATCCTTCTAACAGAAATGATTAACAATTCAGTTACATTTTCCAAACAATCTGTCATTTTATCAAGCTTTTTAAATTTATTACCATAAAGTTGTTAATATCTCCCATCACATTTTTAATGTCTAAAGGACCTTGTAGAAACCTGAGGCACTCAGCTACAGACGGAAAGGTCCACGGTTTGACCCCACCAGCCACTTGGGGGCAGAGAGGTGCGGCAGTCTGCTTCTGGGAAGGTGACTGTCTCAGAAAGCCCCCAGGGCAGTTCTGCTCCGTTCTGCAGGGCGCTCTGAGGTAGGAAGCGACTTGACGGCAGTGGGTTTCACGGGGTCTGGAAGGACGTCTTCATTCTCGCACTGGTGGTTAGTGCCTCCCTTTCTCCGAGTGGCATCTCACCCAAGGGCCCCGGCTGCGTTACTGAAGAAAGCACCTCTGGCGGTTCTGCTCCTCTGGGCTCTGTTAGGTTTCTCTCTCATCAACTTGTGCTTTCGTTTTTATTACCGTTCAGTTTGTAACTTCTTCGTTTCATTCCCCTGGTTCTACTCTCCCCTTTCCTTCATTTCTAACATATCCATTTGGAAGCTGTCAGATTTCTTCTCAGCAGTTCTAGCCACGTGCAACAGGCTGAACAGGAAGCATTTCCATCACAGTTCACTGCAAGGGCTTTTCCAGCTCCCACTGCGGTTTCTTCCCTTACTCAGAGGTGCTCCCTCATCATCAAACACGACACGGTGCTCTTTGGGGTCGGAGTCCTCAGCACCTATGCTGTGGTCAGGAACCGTGGGCCGTGTGGGGGTCACCCGGCACCTACGTTGTAGTCAGAGACCGTGGGCCGTGTGGGCGTCACTCAGCACCTATGCTGTGGTCAAGAGCATGTGCCGTGCAGGGGTCACCAGGCACCTGCCCTGTGGTCGGGAACCATGGGCCGTGCGGGGGTCACTTGGCACCTGCGCTGTGGTCGGGAACCGTGGGCCGTGTGGGGGTCGCCCAGCACCTACGCTGTAGTCAGAGACCGTGGGCCGTGTGGGGGTCACCCGGCACCTATGCTGTGGTCAAGAGCATGTGCCATGCAGGGGTCATCAGGCACCTGCGCTGTGGTCGGGAACCGTGGGCCGTGCGGGGGTCACTTGGCACCTGCGCTGTGGTCGGGACTGTGTGCCATGTGGGGGTCACCTGGCATCTGTGCTGTTGTTGGGGACCTTGGGCCACGCGGCGGTCACCCGGCACCTGAGCTGTGGTCGGGGACTGTGGGTTGTGCGGGGGTCTTGGAAACCTGTAGAGCCTTGCTTTATGGTCACCCTTGTCGATGTCCCACGGAACATGAAAAGAATGCATTTATCGGGTGCAGTTTCACCTCTAAGCCCATCAGTCAAATTCACGGTTCACATCTCTCTTTGTATTTAGGAATGCTGCTGCCCTAAAGTCTACTTTGGTATTAATTTAGCCGCTCATTACAGAAAAGGCCACAACCCGACTAGGAAGGAAGGACTCCTACCACCAAGGCAAGTGTTCCCCCAGCGGGTTCCCTCGCTCTGCCCAACACGGAAACTCCCACGATGCTGCTGTGCCAGGCGTGGCCCCCAGGACAGTACAGCAGCGTAGCCTCCAGCACACAGTAGGCGTGCGCGGGCCTGGGCGAGGCTTTCATTTCTATTCCTCTCCGGAAGAGGAGGAAGCACAGTTGGCACTCACATACAACAGACGACAGGCTGCACTTACAGTCCCGCACAGGCCTGAGTTAGCTCTCCCGCCCTCGGTCGCAGCAGCAACGGCCGCAACAACCATAATCTCAGAACAGCTGGTGGTCTGTTCCACCCTGAACATGGTGTTGGCTGGGCCACACGAGCAACTAATGGCACGTTCACTGGAGGCCCTGCTGCAGGTGGGAGACAGGCCCCACCGTGAAGAGACACCCCTCCCAGGGAGAAGGGCACAATGTGTAACTGGCACATCACCACTAGAGAGAGGTCAGTGCTGGGTGCCTCTTTGGGTCCCTTGCTGTGGGACACTGCCCAAGCCCATCCCGCAGTGAGAGAAGGGTGTCAACAAGAAGCTGGCAGAGCTAGGAAGGACCCTGTGGCAGGGCCAGGGCAGGTGGCCTGCCACTTGACCTGCACACTTGGCAGACCCTCCAGCACTGAGGTCTCTGCAGGAAAGATGCCCTAAGGTGACGGGCCTGTCAAATGCACCAGGGAATCCACCCCACTGCACAACAGCTCCTGGTGTGTGGTCGGGCCGGCAAATTGGGGCGTCTGCCTGGGACATGAAGAAGTCAGCCACCGGCCCGAACCGCGCCTCAGGAGCTTGGCTTTGGTTCTGTCGGACCTGCCAGCTCGTCTGTGGGCAGCACTGTGAAGGGCGGCAGCTGCATGTCCGGGCCTGACTGAAGGAGGGGACCCAAACCCCACCATCCCACCCCAACACAGCTCCCTCAGCTCACAGGGACAGCACATGGGCCAGTG